TTTGAGTCAGATGGCCAGAAAATTGATTAAATTTATTTATTTTGTAGAACTTACACTCACAGTACTTACAGCTAAACATGTAAGTTAAAGTCATAAAAAAGTTAGTCGATCACCGATAAATGTAAGCTGCGGAATTTGAACCATAGAGCGGTGACCGTTTCCAAATAGTAACCAGCGGATGTTAGAAATTTTGAATCTGTGTTACTGAACATGTCAATATCATTTGTCCTATTTAGGGCTTCATATTTATTATTTATGTCGAAAGTAAGCTAACGCATGTCGTTAAAACGTATTAATGTACTTGTTTCTGGGGGCCGAGTCTGGAATACACTCGTACACTGTGTCGTCATGCGACAACGTGTTCGTCGTCTTGTCCACGTGTCTTTATGTGGCAGGGCCACATGTGCGATGTCGCGTTGTAACAATGGCCTTGTTATTATAAGTCTGATGTATCCGTCCCATTGCAGTGCAATGGCCTCCCCCCTCTTTTTCTATTGGTCCCAGATTTGAGCTGAACCTGACCAGTTTCTTTTTTAAATAAGAAGTTGCAAATTAGACCGCCATTGCATCGTTGATCGTTTCCGAGTTTCCGTTTTGAGATGTGGGGCTTTCACTCCGTGGTTGTCTTACTCCATAACTCACGCTTGCTGGCATGACCAGCCGAGTCCCAATTCAACTTTGGCCTTCTTTCGAGCTATATTGATAATTCGGGTTTGTGATGAAGTATTCCTCCGAACTCCGAACAAAAAATATGTTTTTTTCGTGTGCAAAACGAAATTTTTTATTGTTGTCTTTCCGAGTGAATGACCAATTTTAACAGTTGTTTCAACATATAATTTGTGAATGAAATACGGAATGCTTTTTATGTAATTGAGAGTCCAGTTTGTGAAGCCAACTTTAAAGTTAAGCGCTACAAAGATAATATAAATAAAAAACTCTAATAAAAAATCGTCAATGTATTTACCATGATGAATCGGTACTGACCGGTACGACCGTTAACCCGCTTGTAATTCGTAGGTATTCGTCGTATTTCATGTAGGAGTATCAAATCATTAAAACTATTTTTAATCGAAACAACTATAAAGCAAGTTACTCGAAACACGTCCACGTTATTTATTACTTTTTATTACATTCTCATAAAGATGCGACGAAATATACGCAAATGAGTGATTTGTTCATCGAACATAATTATTAATGGACTTATTATATCGCACGTTAAAAATGAGACCGTCACTAAACGAAACTCACGCTTCTTCAAATTTAAACTTAATTTCATAAACTTTAATGCCCATTTCTCAAAAATTGATGTTTTCGTTTAGTGACGGTATCGATTTCAGCTTGTGAGATCGTATTAAATCAATTAATAGTCGCAATAATGAAGGGTTGCGCAGGCCCTAAATGAAACCTACACGAAATACGTTAGGGTAATTAAAGTATGAAATGTGATTGATTTCGTAAGTTTTGATGATGATATCAAAGAATAAATAGATAGTATGTAATAATGACGTATATTTGTTTTTTCAAACAAACCAACGTTTCGGGCATTTACAGGTCCCATAGTTACGGTTGACTGACCACCTCAGTCAACCGTAAAAAAAAGTAAAAATTAATGTGGGTATTATTTGCTACTATTACGCTGATAGCCTCAGTTACTCAAATACGTCCACGTCATTACTTTTTGGTAAATTTTGATAAAGATTCGAAGAATTACTAATAAAAAACCAGAGCATCCATCGAAGATACTATGTTTTGTATGTAATATTAAAAAGAAACTAAAAATAATATATAAACTATCTTTAAATTCTTAAAAATTCTTGCTGCATATATCGATCTACAGGTTCCAAAGCCATAAAAGGAGAAACTAACTCTGGCGCCTACGTAGTAACATCAGCTCCTAACGACACAAGTATGCAGTTTGCAATCTCCGTTACCTCAATTATTTATTCTTTCGGTTGACCTTCTTCTTATCTGTAGCTACGTGTTTATTATTTACTGCTTAACACTTACAATTTTATTACATAATACATATAACTTTAGGTATATAAGATAATAAATAAGATAAATTCACGCGGGTATAAAGACATTTTATCTTTGTAGACCAAGCCTCGTTTGAACATACTAAATTCTTTCTTTTGTTCGTTCAAATTATTTAATAGTTAATTTAGATATAATAGCTAATAAGGACATGAATAGCTTTATATCCTACTAGCTATAGGCATAATTATAAATCAAGTAATCCGACCATATCAATAAATATCTTATTAAGTTATTGAAATTCCTTTAAAGTGGTTTAACATTATTTTTGGTTTTTTTACCGACTTCAAAAAAAGGATTCAAGGTAGGTTGTCTATTCGACTGTATGTTTGTTACACGATAACTCGATTTAAGAACCGATTTTGTTGGAGAGAGGGTACCTCGATAGTGGTACCATTTAAATTTGAAGAAAATATTCCATATCCAAGGGTAGGAAACTAGGGGATGAATGATGAGGTCGATTTTTTTAGTGTTCTGAGATTATTTATCCATAACGGTAGCTTTATAGTCCTTTTATACAGTCAACCTATAAGCTGAGACAAATAAGGCAAATTGAAATTTGTAAAGAAATTAAGCTCTTGGAACTTAGTATGGCTTATTGATTACTACTAAAAATACACGATGCTCATAGAGAGTCCATCGATTGCCACTAAAAATACACAATGCAAGAGGTCTATCGATTACTATTAAAAATACACGGTGCTCAGTAACTATTAATAATGTACGCATTATAAACTACACAGTCACTTTGTTCAGTGAAATATGGATGTTGTGTTTAGTTGTACGTACAGTAACAATACATGGTTATGACAAATGTAGTTTTATAGAGACTATTGTAAACTTCTATTGTAAATATTGTGACTACTCATCCAGAAAAAAATGTAGATTTTACAAGGAGTAACATGGTATTATGCTTATAAGCAAGAAGCTTGCTATATTTTGGGGATTATTATTTCTTTTTTATTTGATTTGAAGCTATTACAGGTTAATGGTTTCACCTACCGCCCCTCAAGCAGAATCTGGGTTTGTGTCCTATTCCACTAGTCCCTACCAGCTGTTCCCCCTGGTGGGGACAAGTGGATTTTTTTTCATTCATTTTCATTTTTTTCATGTCATTGGTTGGGATAAATGGAATTCTTTTTCACTTATCGCTATCAATAAAATCTCTTAACATCTACAGTACAATATCGACAAAAATATGTAATTATAATATTCACAGTAATATCTTTTTGATAAATAATTACAATGATTATATTATATCAATAAAGAGACCAGCTACAGCCGGTCTCTTTATTGACTGAGTTACGATAAAATAATAAACAAACAGTTTACTTATCCCCACCAGGGGAGAGAGCCGTTAGGGACTAGTGGAATAGGCCGGGTTTGCATCTCTGAGTATTCAGAATTTATGTACTACATTTAATTTGAAATTTACTACGAGCTTTTCGATGAAGGAAAACATCACAAAGTATTTTAATATTGTGTGTGTAAGATTATCAATCCACATTGAGCCCGCGTGAGAACTATAGTCTCATTGTAAGAAGAGGCCTCTGCCCAGCAGTGCGACCGATAACTTATTATTTCTTTTTGCTTTTAAATTTGTTTTGTTACCATTCATCTCTAGTTGAATTGTCGAACCGCTATGGTTACACTCTGTAACACAAGTTATATTTGATAATTCAAGATTTACACGATGCGGCAAAACCTTTTACTATTTTTTATATCCTTTCAGGGTAAAACTGAGGCTTAGTAGTGATTGACAGCACAAGGAATAAGCCTAATAAGCTTAAAAAATCATAATACTACGATGTTATCAAGTATCTGTATCTAAATATTAAATTATTACTTTTTCATATTGTTTATTGACTGTCACGACACTTTACTACCATTATATACAATTATTTTTTGTGAAATTACTCCACTAGTTTGATATAATTATTATTAATAACAAAAATCGAACACAAATTCATTTGATCCAGCTGGATTCGAACCAGCACCCTCAGGCAATCCGTGCCACATGCTCTGCTAATTAAGCCATGGAATGAGCCAACAGACCTTACGAATAGTTTCTATGTGGTTCTTGCACATCTTTGTTTTTGGTTTTAAGGACGGCAAATTTATTTCTTCACTCAAAGTTTTTACAGCTACCGTAGCTGGGGGTCGATTCAGAACCTTGCGATAACTCAGTTGTCGACCGATTTCTTTTCATTTTTATTCACAACACCCAAATCGAACGTCAAATTGTCGTATTCAAACCGAACCGAAATGACGTCACACCCGTACGATTACTCGAACTTCTCTACTGGCAAAGGCTACAAACGTTATTCAGAACACAAAGTTACCGAACGTCTTATTGTTTAAAGCAAGAATGTAATTTGGAAATCTCTAATTATTTTAAGTAAAGCCTGAATTTTGTTCAATTTTATTATTTATTTTAATGCATTTCTATACTTTAGGCCTCTACACTCTTAAAAATGTATACATATGAAAGGATTTTCATTTTTCTTATAATCTATTTCACCGACTAATTCCGTAAACGCTGTTGGATAACGATATCATATCCGAATCCTAATCGAACGTTTAACTCGGAATATTCTGAATAACTTGGAAAGCACCCTTCGATTCGAGAACGATATGCAATCGAACAAATCGCTTAAAATATCGAAGAGTTCTCAATCGGGGTCCTGACTAGAGATGGCGCTACAATGGTAATTTTTTTGGTAATGGTAAGTTTATTGAATGTCACGATGTATTATTGACATGTTATTCAATTCTTTTTCTGTGAAATTACTCCATTCCAACGAATTTTTTAAATGTTGTATTAAATGATTACAGCGAGAGTAATTTAAATATAAGCAAGTGTAAAGTACCAATGGAAGCCGAATATTGAAGGCTGCATTCACACTTTTTTTACAGTAAACGTTTAATTTGAAAATCCGTAATCTTACCTAAACGGTTTGTTGCAGAAAAACGGCGACTTCGAGAAGTACCTAGAGCCATTGAAGCCCGTGGCGAAGAACTACCGCGCCAAGATCATGACCGTGGCCATCGACACAGACGAGGATGACCATCAGAGGTGAACATTTATTTATTTAGTATACATTGGTACTTTCAACATGATGCAGAAAAATGTTACCTTTAAAATAATTTTAAAATCGATCGGGCAATTTCTGAGATTATTTCACATATATGTACACTAAGAAACAAATCTTTATATTTTGTACATTTGTTACATCTGTTTTAAAATAACTGCAAAGGTGAATAATTAATTTATAGCTTCTATCAAGTTCTTAGAGCGTGTGTGAGTGTGTAACCACACATTGCGACTTTTAGCAGCGCTGCGAACGCGATGCAGTCGCTAATCGTTTACCTTTGCACACTCGCGCGATTATAAGCAGCGACTGCATCTATACAAACGCGCGATTGCATCGATGCAAGCGCGCGACTGCAATGTCGCCGTGTATAACCACTCTTAGGTTATCACGATTGTTACACGTAGGAAATGAAAATTTTTTTCGGATTTAAATCGTGTTTTTTTTTCTCAAGTAAACCAACGTTTGTTGTCAGTAAAAATCCCGAAACGTTTGACAAACAAATACGCGATTTAAATCCGAAAACTTAGTTTCATTTCCAATAAAAGATTGTTGTTCGTTTTATTAGCTTTTAGTTTTCTTTGAGCCAAATTAGCGACAAAGGGAAATTATAATATGCTCATGTTTTCGTCTAGAATCTTGGAGTTCTTCGGCATGAAGAAGAGTGAGGTGCCATCCGCTCGCCTGATCGCGCTCGAACAGGACATGGCCAAGTACAAACCACCCACCAACGAGCTCAGCGCTAATGCTGTGGAGGTAAGCATGTCAAATAGCACACTCTTTTGTAGTACGGTAAAAATTGGGCATCAGTTAACACCACTGTCTTTATACAATAACGCAGTATTGCAGTATACTGCAGTTTTTAACTAAGAATACAGCGATTAGTGAGCAAGCGAAAATTTATCGTAAATATGACACCCATTTTCTTACTTAATTTTGACATCGTTGTATAGAGGCACCGAAAATGGTGACCTTACACGTTAAGTAAAACTCTGTAATGTTCAATAGGTATTTCGTCGTCTTAGAGTGAAAACCTCGTACGTGATTTCTATGTAATTTTTCAGGACGAAGATAAAAAAGTGGTGTAAAATGTAGTAAACGCAATAATGTTTGTAGTTAGCATTTTAATTAGTTAAATTATTCCTCTCTCAAATATTATATTACTTTAATAATATATTTGAGTAAGAAGTTTATAAGTTATTGTTCAACAAAAATCAGTAATAACGGATTATGTGAAAACGTGTATACGAGGTTTTCCCTCTAAGGCGACGGTTTGTATTTTAAACTTTTTTGGTCTGAGTCGTTGCAATTAGCATCACATGATCATGCCAATCATGAAAAAGTAAATCACACTTATCTATGATTTTTACTATGTGTTAGCATACACGCCAAAACAATTACAAAAAAAAACTAAACACAATACGTGTGTGTAATATTAACACTAATAATAATTTACAACACTAAGAGATGAAACTTAAAATTTGGATGAAAATAAATCTAAATCACGTCATTGTACACGAAACTCTGAAAACTTCTAAAAACATATCTAATTGCGTATATCCTTTCAAGTAATATTATTGTTCTTATCTCAGTAGAACCAACAAGCATACTAAACATTTGTATTCCAAAACTAATTGAGGAAAGCTGATAATGGCATTTCATTATGTCAGCTTCATTGCAATGTTATTCATGCTGATAAGGGCGCGTACTATATACTATATATATACATAATAAACGTGGAAAGTAATAATAGTAGTAGCGTAGTATATAGTAATAGAACAAGATTACAGACAATTTATTTTTTACCTTTAATATTTACGATGAATTGACATAAAAAAAAAATTTAACGCGACGTGGAACACTTGACGAACTTAAAGTGTTTGCGTTGCCAGCATAAAAATATGTCAGATCGATATTTAAAGTAATTCAAATTTATTTCAGTAAAATCTCTTTCATGACGTTAAGTTGTTGTGATTGCTGTGGTAACATTGTCTGTATGAGGACGAGTCGACGTTAGACATACAATACAATAAACTTTATTGCATACTAGAACAAATCGTTTATTCTTAGTTGTCACCACTGGCTTTGTCCCCACTGGCGACAAATGGGGAAAAAAATCCCATATGTTACCAGGTGGTGACAAACGGGATAAAAAAGTCCCAATTGTTACCAGTGGTGATTGCCAGTGGCGATAAATGGGAAAAAAATCACCAAAGACAACTGAGAATAAGCGGAACAAATATATAAAAAAGAAACAAAAGACAGGTACATTAGGCAACCTTATTGTTATCACCGTGAACATTCTCCTGTAATCAGTGAGCATAAAAGTATAATATCATCGCCTATAATGAACACTCGACAACAAATCGGACATGAAACCAAGTAACTCAAAATTGTGGAATTGTGAAGATACGATTGAAAGTTAAAAAAAAACTGAGTGAAACCATTTTTGAAATGAAACGAAAATAATCAAATTTTTCCCAATAAGTTCCGTTCAGTATTTTTTTTCAAAATTGTTAAATCAAGAAAACGGAATTCCACAATCTTGAGTTACGACAGTATTTGGTTTCGAGCGGCAGATTTCTAGAATTAAAAAGCTCCCAACAACACTGTTCGCAGCATTGTTCTAAGTAACAAAACAAATACTCGTTTGTGCAAACATTCATTGCTTACATCCCTCGTCTCTAATATAAATGTTACTTGTAACGCTCCGAATGAATACTCCGCTTGCTTAATAGCTCTGAACAAAGTATACACATGCACTGTAATGTTTATTACATGTGCAAGGATTCGTGTAGTAGAAGTGTCTCGAACAAAAAAATTGTTGACATTATCGTGAAATCTGTACAACTTTTTCATTCCAGTACGTTATTTTAATTAAAAAAAACATTTATTTATTTATTCAACACGTCAACAGTTACAACAATATTTAATGTTATAAACCACCACACCTTAATATGTGAGCACCGCATATACAAAAAGTGTAAACAGATTTTAAGACAAAAAAGAAACGAAATTACTAAGGAAGAAATTTCACGCAATACGATTCAGTTATTAATGCACCAGGAAATTTAAGAATTTTGTTTTTGAAACCTAGCTGTGAGTCAACGACAATATCCGCAGTCGTTATTATAAACTAGATATACGTGGTACGAGAAGTTGGAACCCAACCCTGTTCTTCGTCGAGACGTGTGAAAACGCCTCATGTAGTGAAATATAGGAAATTTATTTCAAATGCAAGTCGTGACAATACACGTTTAATTAGGTTAGTACTTATTGCCATGACACCCCGCAGGGGTATGGCAGTTAATCGCCACATTTTGGCTTACATTATTGTTCACACATTGCAAAATATAATAATAATATAATATGTGAAAGAGTTCATCTAGGGTAGTATTGCCATCTTACCTATTTCTGCCGCCAAACAGTAATGTCAGCACTACTATGTTCCGGTTTTGAAGGGTAAGGGTGCTGGTGAAATTACAGGCACATGGGACTTGTTAACTTACGTCTCAGGGCGATAGGCGCAGTGGCAGTGCCCCTTAGATCTTTGCGATTTAAAGCTTTGAGTGGCACTGCAACTATTATGGACAGGCGTGTAGCTTATCATCAGGCGCATGACTTGTTCGTCCCGTCACTTAATATTATAAAAAAAAGTCTGGCGGGAATGTTAAAGTTAAAATTACCAAGCAGCTGTCTACAGTCAACCATATAGTGATGAATAATCTTATAAAGGAAAGCCATATCTAGTAGAATAATGGTGTTTTTACTACCATGATATTCATCCATTTTGGTAGACACGTTACGGCAACAGACGCTGGTTCAAGTCCAGCCGGAACGGAGGAATTTTACTTTATGTTTGTTCAAACTTTGTATTAATAATAATAACTTGTTCGTTCTTTCATTAGTAGTTATATTAACATATCACTGATTTCACGGTTAAACGTATCGTAACTTAACTGCCGCAACCTAACTGCAGTTAAACCGCGTGACGCAAAACATACATACATCATTAACGATTGTTACTTGGAACCAATGTACAGGATGCTTGGAACTTACGGTAATTATGTGCTGTAAATGCATTTTTATGACATTCTTACTCTGGTAAACGAATTTACTTTTTTCGTAATTTTGGTAGTTATGAATGAAGCTTTTTGTTTCATGATAATTTTTGACCGATTTTATAACCTTTATGCAGCTATTAATATGCAACGGGTTCTTAATGCCTACCTTTTATATCGTACAGGGTCAAGAGCACGTCAAGCTTGACACTTAAGATTTAAATTCAACTCTATGCCGCTTACGATAAACACGGTCCAAAGTACAAAGTGAAAAGTACAAAGATAAAAAACCGTTTAGTTACATTAAACTTATACCGAGAAATTTAATATATATCGCGCTGCTATTACAATAGTGTCGTAGCTCAAAATACGTGAAGTTCAAGATTATACCAATGGTGAACGTAAAATTTGATTCTCTACACGTCATTAAAACCGCCGTTAGAATATTGTAAGAAACAATTAAAAGATATCTACATAACACAAAATGAGACAAACTTTATGTGAGCTAGTTCTGGACAAAACAGTGCTTACTCAAAAATGTGAAACTATTTTTTCCTTTTTACATTTTTAAATATGCTTGGGAAGTATGAAACCGTTAAGACATTTATAATAAACTTTATTTTATACATACATTTTAATCATCTTTCACGGGAAGTGAGTAACCCGTTTTTCATCGATTCTGAAAAAATACACTTTTTGAGTTAATACACTATTGTATTAACAGTACTATATGTGTACTAAACGCTGTAACAGTCAGAGCTAAAGTCATAATAAGTCTTTTCGATGTGTATTGAAACAATGTTGTTTAAGATCTAGGTGTTACGCAGAACATTGGTCATTTCAAAGACTTGCTGACTTTGTCAAGAGCGCCAGATTGTGGTTGGTGGGACAGGACCATTTCGCCCTTATTGTGACGTGGCATGTTTATACAGGGACTGAAAGAGATTCGAAGATTGATTTTGACAACGTTTTTACACGAATGTATTTTGAACAAAAAAACTGCCGAAGTGTTTCTTCACTACTACTATCACAATTTACTGGCGGTAATCCTGATCCTGCTAAAGGCATTGTACTAAGGCGTTGTTTGTTCGAATATCGCCTCAAACAATGCAACGGAACAAGATCGGTCCATGTGAAGTTTTGATTTCTTCGCAATATTTATTTTGATAAACACGTTTTACTATTATGATATTCCTTTTTTTTTGTGAAAATACTCCATTACTTTGTTGTTATTATTGATACTAAGGGTCGTATTCCAGAACTCTACTCAATACTCAGGACTTGAGTATTGCAGTGAGTACTGAAAATTCCTGAAAAGTCCTTGCCATTAGGGTCGTATTTCCAGTGCTTGAAATCATACTCAAGTCTGCTCAAATCCTGACTTGAGCATTGAGTAGAGTTCTAGAATATGACCCTAAGATAAAGGAAAACCACAACGAAAATTTCCGGCTGGACTCGAATCAGCGACTGTTTGCCCAATCGGGGCTGCCGCTCTCCCAACTGATTTTATTATTTTTTACTTCAAACTTATATGTATACAGAGGAGTTGGTCTTCCACTCGGTAGTACACATTATGTTATTTCACACCTCAGGTGAAACAGTGACTTACATTTGTAAAATTTATTTAAAATGAATTAAAAGCTTCGTATTTAGGGCTTATTGAGCACTTTTGAAAAAATCTTAAATGTTATCTTATTTCAATACGCGATACGCCGTCTATTGGTAAATAAAGGAATACATAATGCGTCTGTTTTTCAGTATAAATTGCATTTTAAAAATCGTTTGGGATCACAAGTTTTTTACAGTTAAGTTTGTGTTTTAGTGTTTCTTTGTAAATTGACGTTATAAATGTAAACATCCTATTCTCAGTTAGTGACATATACCAAGCCTGTATAAAAGAAAAAAAGTTTTTATTATTAGTTAAATGTTGACAACCGTGGGAGTTAAAATTACAATCTTGATGCGCTGGCAGTAATATTGACTTTTGAGGTCAAGTTTCCCATGGTTTATAGTTAAGATTCCACAACATATACAAACGATTTAAACAAGGGTGTGTTATATATGCACTCGTACACGGCCCTCCTGCTGATGTTTATCGCTAGTTAATGTCTTTCCTATGTTATCCTCTGACATTATTTAATGACCTTACATTGAACCTATTTAATTTTAGCTATTGTCTCTTATGTGTTGAATTAAATGGGTATATATTTAATCACTATACAATAGTCTAGTTACATTTTTCCTTGTACATGCTAAGCTGCTTTAAGAAATGACCACAATTATTAATTCATGCTGTGAAAAGTGTGTAGTTTTGGCAAGTGCATATCAATTGTCAGAGCTATATGATTGTGCTATATAACTCTTAACTAACCCGAAGGTTCCCTTGAAGGGATTGCCATGTAGCAATGAGGCCGCCTGCTGAACCTGTTATTTTTGCTTTTTTTGTATTATTTTATATTTGTCCGTATGCAACAAAAAAATTGTATTTTGAATTCAACATATACACATACTGTAGAAAAACTTTAATTAATTTTGTTCTATTACTATGCTATTACTTTTTTATGTATATTACCTTCTATGTCGACTTGAAACCATAGTCATGAAATATGAATAATAAAAAAAAATCTTGTGTAATAAATAAAACAGGAACTTAGTTACATACATTTTAAAAAATCTGCTAACCGCGTGTGAAGAAGTTGTGCCTAACACTAAGCAATGTTTTTCTGTGCAGGAATTCGTGCAAAGCTTCTTCGATGGCAAACTGAAGCAGCATCTACTGAGCGAGGAATTGCCCAAGGACTGGGCTGCCAAGCCTGTAAAGGTGCTCGTCGCCACCAACTTCGACGAAGTTGTCTTCGACACCACCAAGAGAGTCCTTGTTGAATTCTACGCGCCTTGGTAAGTAGGAACTATATCACTCAAATATTAAGTTGGTTAATGATGTAGCAAGTAACAAGTATTGATTAAAAATCAACACAAAAAAGACAAACTTCATGATCGTATCTAAGATCCCAATAGCGAATGAATGCTTGACTTTGGAAAACAATCCAATAGAACTCTTACACCAGTTTAAATACCTCGGTAGGTACGAAAATGAACTCTAGGATAGCGCACAAGAAGTCCGTATTCGCATCGAACAGGCACGAAATGCCTTCATGAAAATGAAAAAGATTTTGTGTTGTAGAAGGTTCAACCTTAAACTCCGCGTGCGTTTAGTTCGCTGTAAACTGCCTCTGTGGAGGAACGGTTACCATACCGGACTGCCACGCAGAGGTCCAGATTCGATTCCCGGGCCCGGAAGAAACATTTGTATGGCCTACATTTATTTCTCTCGTGAGTTTGGGTGTAATTTGTGGTTGTCGATGTGTGTGTCCATGGCACCCGCGACACAGGGTTTCCCTAGTGCGGGGCTATGTTGAGTGTGTGCGTTTTTGTGTGTTATCTCTTCAGTATCTTGGTGTTTGGTATGGACTGTTGGACCTTAACCCCAACATTATGCTCAAAAATAGAGTCCTTTGAAATATGCATATACAGACGTATGCTTGGCATATCATGGGTACAAAAGGTCACCAACATTGAGGTTCTTCGTCGAATGGGAAAAAGTTCGAAATACTCAGAACTGTAAAGGAAAGAAAGCCGCAGTATTTTGGCCACGTTATCAGGGGCAATACATACCGGATGCTTAATAATGCAGGGAAAAATACAAAGAAAGCGTAGTTGTAGCACAAGGAAAACCTCGTGGTTGAACAATCTACGAGGCTAGTTCCACCTTAACACACGTTCTCACTTTCGTGCGGCAATTTCAAAAATCTTCTAGCCATGATGGTCGCCAATCTTCGTAGAGAAGCGGCACACTAAGAAGAAGAAGAATTATGTACTGACTTGTACATCCAACAGAGCAACAAATGATTTATTGTGATCATACTAATTACAACCAGGAGCCAAGATCAACAGAAAAAAAAATTGTAGGGCTTCTTGACTATGATTGCTTTAACCTCGTTCTCTTTCTATTTAAAAGCTAGTCTCTCGTCGGTGAATATTCGCCAATCATTCAATTCAATTGATTGTTCCATACAAAGTTTACAAAGATCTTAAATAATGTATAGGTCCTTATGACAAGTTACCCTGTATTGTACTAGGAGAGAAGGGCAGAGGGCACCTACTTTTTTATGTAAAAAAAGTATAAAAGAAATTATAACTTATATACTATTTTAAATGACATGTCATGGAAATTTATGACGGCTCAAATAAGAATTTCTGGACCACTATAAATGAGCCACACAATACTCATAAATATGCGGTTTCTCAAAAATGTACAGTATTCCACGGACATCAAGGTTTTACAATTTCGTGACGTTTAAACTTTCAACTGCAGGTACTTATCTCCCTAATAAGATGTACTATTTTTCATTGACATAATATGAATCACCAGAGAACAAGAGAACAATCTGAAACAATATATTTAAATTAATATCTTACAATAAATAAAAGACTTTGTTTATACAATTGTTACATTTGAAGGTATTCAATACCTATACGGCGTTCTCGTTAGTATTACTTGCGCAACGTTGGGAATTATGACGAAAATCAATATTAATGTGTATAGTATAATGTTTGGCGACCTTGTTGCTAGGCTATTCTAATAATTTTAAACATAAATTTACGCTATACAGTACTAAACTATACTTTAAAGTCCAAGTTTCGGGGCTATTTTAGATTTACAGAATTTGACGATTGCATTAGAATTGATTGAGTTGAGTTTGCAGCTGCAATTAAAAATTTACCATACCTTTTTTAACCGACTTAAAAAAAGAACGAAGTCGTATGCCTGGTGTTAAGCGACAGGTCTGTCCATAGCAGTTGCAGTGCCACTCAGAGACTCAAATTGCAAATATCTGCAGGGCACTGCCACTACGCCTGTCACCCTGAGACAAGTTGACAAATCCCATGTGCCTCTAATTTCACCAGCATCCTTACCCTTCCAAAACGAAACGCAGTAATGCTCATATTGCTGCTGGGTGGCAGAAATAGGTAAGGTGGCAGTACTTCACTGGACGAACTCTTTCACAAGGAGCTATTCTGCTACTAAAGCTATGTATATATAAGGATTTGGTACTCGTTGAAGGATACGCGCTGACATTTTAAATTGTCGGATGTGCGGGAATATTACTATGTCATAATATAATGAAATAGATTAACAAAGTAACCGTCATCTAAGAGCGACCTTCCACAATCTGTATTTAACCGATTACCTTGCATGAACTCGCACTCGCGCACTATAGGAAGACATTCGTCGTCGTGGTAACGCGACGTTACCATCCGTAGCGATGCATGAATTAATTTCCATAGCGAAAAATGGGCGGCGTTGTGTTGTTATTCTGTAATTGATTAATTATTAGTATGAAAAGGGTGGGCCTCGTGTGTGGCTATCCGTGGTCGTCAGCTAAAGAAATCTGTAAAATCACAGACCGTGAGACATTAAAGTAGTCACGCGGGCCTCGCGTAATTAAATAGAAGGCTCGGTCCACATGAATTTTATTGTAGAAATAAGAAGGAGAAGGTACAGTACGGTAAAGCAAAAGAACAGGTAAAGTGAAGGCGTAAAGGCTCTAACAAAACAAAATGATATACAACAGGTACAATCGTATAACAACACTCCCTACTCAAATTAAATACAGGTTGTGGTAAAAAGAAATTTACCCCAAAAGGACCTGTATTGTCTAGAAATACTATGCTTTGTAAGCAGTTCGGTTACATGATGGTACTACAAATATTATACTTTACAAG